AATGCAAATAAACATATTATTCTCAGGGCTGCTTTAAAAAAAATATTTTTCACAAAATAGAAGCTATTAATTCAGATTGCAGTGAGTCTGGCTGTGCCTGGGTGTCATTTTAAGTCTGTAGACTAATGCAAGTTGTCGATTCAATGAGCTCCGATACTCTTCTGACCCTCCTTCACAAAAACATATGTACACAGGAAATGGACACTTCTGCTTCTACCGCAGTGACAGTCGAAGGCATTACACACACAAATTAGAAGCAGAAGGGAGGAGGGAGGAATCTGCATAACTTGGTTGCGCAGTAGGCTGTTTGCTGAGAATGAATATCAACCAAACAGAATTTCAAGAGCAACTTTTTCTTGGTAAGCATCTATATATCGTATGCCCACATGGCAAGAGTCCCATTTCAAGTAGCATATCAAAGCACGGTTTGAGGGTGGAGCGTGAATTCATACAACCATCAAGACAGAAGAGATCCAGAGCTGACTCTGTCTCTAAGATACCCGAATTCCAGGAAAGCGGGTCTGTCTTGTATTTTGCCACTGCCTTTGTCTTAGGAGGAAAGTTAGACTATTTTTAGCAATTCCCCCTGGAATGCCGGTGCTGATAAAAGCAATAGACGGACTAATCAGAAGCCATATGGCACTACTGATTTTGAAGGGAAACTTCCCAACTGGAAACAGCAGGGAATGCTCTTTTAAAAGCAATGACTGTATGCAGTCCTTGCATTTTGGATTGCTCTTAAAGCAAGCAAATAGTATCAAAATTGCAAATGCAGGTGAATTGTTTCAATAAATTATCTGTAGGAATTAATTGCAAATGAGGGAGGAGGCATTGTCAGAATAGGTTCTTGTTTTTATTTGTAACCATGTTTGCTACATCGCCCTTGCCAGTTACAGTGACTGCGACCAGAATACTTCTGATCCGTACTTTTTTCCACACAGTTTTGCACGTGTTGCTGTTCAAGCAGCCTTCCTTGTGGAGTCCAGTGTTGGGGACAGCCCTGCGTGATGGTTGTACAGGCAAGATGGACCCAACTTAGATGTCATGGGGGAAACCTTTTCTTGTGCAAAATGCACCTCCCATCCCTGTAAGAGAAACCTCTGAACTGGGCACAAGATGTGAAAATGAAGACCAATGAGTACATCTTATCTGCCAGTTCAGACACTGGACTGAACCCTGAAATGACAATCCTTTTGCGTTTTGTCATGTAGTTGCACCCCTTTGAACTGTGCTGCATCACAAAGGTTGAAACTGCTGCAGAACTGTGTAGTGTTGCTTCACACAAACCGCTAGCCACATGGAGCTATGCCCATACTTGTAGTTCGAGAAGCAGCCAGGCCACAGTGTAAACTAAGCTGTCCTTTTATAATGTGTTTTGGATCAGAATGTGCAAATTTCTCGATCTCTTGAGTAAGGGTTTCATTGCCTCCATTTCCCACATCTATATATTATGCTGAGCCAGGTTCCTATTTTGAAGAGCCCAGGTATAGTTCTGTGGTTTACAGCTCTTTCCTGCTTGAATTTTCTTGTTACCAAAAAAAGAAATCTGCATCAATCATAGTGCATCTCATAGATTGTTTTGTTTTTTTGCAGTGCAATGTATAGTTATTAACCAGAGTTTTTGCCATTGTGAGGAGCCATGGATTTCAGCTAGCAGGGCTGAAGTTATGTGCTTTTACATGAGATACATTTTTCTTATACAGTACCTTATAGGTAAGGCCATACAATATAATCAAACATTTGTCAGTGTTATAGCCTAGTAACTGTTAGACTATTGAATGGTTCCAGTTGACAAGTAGGGAGTGCTTCTTTCGTTTATCATGTTTGCAAATGATGGGATCTTTTCCAATGGACTTGTTTTAATCTTAATTAGAGTTTATCGGCAAAAGTCTGCATGACATTCTGCAGGCACTGATTCCATAAATAATAAAAAAGAATGTGGAAACATTGGCAAGATTCAGCGATATTTAAGGCAACTGATTGTAACAGAAGCATGAATTTCCATTAAAAAAAAATAAAATAAAATTTGAACTGTGACTCTGTTCTTTACTTTCAGAATTTACAGTACAAATTTGCTGCAGCTCTGACAGCAATTATGAGGGTCGTTTAAAAGCTTCCTGTTAGGAACCAGATCTGTTTCCACAAGAGCCCAGCTCATAAACATTACAGAAAACAGGCAGGCTGGGCCACCTTTTGTACAGATTTTTTAAAAAGTTGTTTATTCTGAAAAGGTGGTAGTCACACTGGTGGAACACCAAAGGGGTAAAAAGAAAACAAAGTGGGAGGAAGAGAAAAGAATGGTATCCAAATATAGCACTTCCATGTGATGCAAACTGCATTAATTACTGCCTCAAGTTTAGACTGCCAGTGCCTACTCTGAGATCATGCCCTTTGAAGCAATAAAAGCAGCAGCTGTTTCTTCCCCCCACTCCATTCCACCTGTTCCTTTCCCACCCTCATTTCCCACTTGATGACTAAAGCAGAAATACAGGAGGGGCACAAGTGTGTGTATGGGGGGGCAGGAAGAGAACCTATAGAATAAGAATCAGAGTTGCTGCTTCCTATCTCGTTGTTTCAGATTGTTTAAATGCACAGGAGATGCCTGGTTTTCGAAATAATGACAAAATGCTGGGCAGATGGAAAGCACCAAATAAAAGAAGGATCCTAACTCAAGGAGGGTAGAATTATGTTGTGGACTGCTCTGTGGGCATAGGGCAGCGTACAAATTTAATATAAATAAATAAATAAACCCAAGTAATAGGTAGGTCCTCGATGATTCTATGAAGCACCCAGCACAGTATGTCAAATTGTAGCTCCATACAGACCATCATTGAGCAGTCAGGCAAGAAAACATACTACAAAAGAGGTATACAGGAGCCTCCTATTGTCTATCGTGTGTGTGTGTGTGGTCTTTTGATTAAAACAAAAAATTAAAAATAAACTGAAAATTCACACTGTGATGGAGCGTTCAGCCTGTGTTAGCACTGGTGTATAGCCTTTCTCTTGAGACCCGGAGTTGTACCACTTGATGAAATTCTTCACCAACAGTATAAACTGCTTAGCATCAATATGGAAACATAACTTATTTTAGGGGAATAATTTGAAAACTTAACACCCGCGCTGTAAATGTTCAGGGCTTCAAAAAACAGGTTTTTGTCCTTATTCAGGGTTGTGTGTATTCTGTGCACGAAAGAAACATAATAATTCAGCAATTACAGTAAATGATTTGAAGTAACTAAATTGTCAGCATTTTCTTATTCTGCATTATTTTTTCTCCTTTCAAGACTTCCCTAAGAATTTGGCTCCCCACCCCCACCCCCAGCAATAAATTGCCACTGTGAAAGTAGCTTTCGGTACTTGGAGTGCTCAAAATCTTTGGATTATAATGGCCATAATACATTTGGTTCCAGTAGTTGTGGCCAAATCCTGCTGCATTCCTAGCAAAGAGTGAATGTGAGAAAACTTTTCCCTGCTTTGAAACTTCTGCATCACTTTGTGGTCTAGGAGCCCTGCCTTGGTTTCCCCCTCTCAAACATATTGTGAGTGATGCTGTTTTGTTTTCTCATCTTTGAAAGCTAATAGGACTGGATTAATTAATAGTCCAAGATTTCTCCAAAACAATGTCCTAATTCTTCTATTTAGCTGTTGCATATCATACACTGTTGTTATCTCTTCCACCAGATTTTTGCAACAAGTTGTTTTAAAACTGTAATCTCTTTGAGGAAGGGGGGGGAGGAATGAAGTGTAGTTGAAAAGGCAGTTATGCTAAAAGATAAACACAGCAATATTACTTATCAAAATGGGTACCCGGTTGTGTTTGTTTGTGTGTGTGTGTGTCTTTTTTCTTGCCTAATTAATACAGCATATAGCTTTTGCTATATATACAAAACCTATAACAGAAAAAGCTTTATAACATGTAATGTGACATTATTTTAGCCATAACTGTACTGGATATGTATCTAGGCCTGAGAGTAGAGATAACACAAATATAAGTGCTCTGCCTGTCTAAACATGTTAAATAAATGAGCATTCACTATCACATTCAATACATTAGTGCATTACTTGCATAGTTAATTTTCTTTTTAATGCTTTCCCACGTGACACTTGCAGCACAGAGCTATAGTATATCTCACTCTTTGAAGAAAGTTTTCCTTTTAAGCCAAGCTCCACTGTTTGAATAGGACTTTATGAAACACATCTTTGGCATATCTGAACAGGAAGTTCAGTGGGCATTGGGACAGCCAGTGCAATGATGCATGTATATTATTGCATAAAGGATTCCCCCCTGGAGACAGATGGCAGCAAATCCCAGCAAGCATTAAAAATGACTTTATGAGGGTATCTGAACCATGTTTTGCATTGGGGTATTATTTGTTTGCTTATGGATAGTCCCTTGGAATGCACGAATATTTTACTTAATACATGCGTATACAGATAGCAATATGATTTGTGGAATGGAGAGGAAGTTGAACAAAAAATCTGGATAGCAACCAATGAAAACAAATATATATCTATACTGACATTCTAGGAATGTCCACTTCCTTCAAGACGTAGCGCTGCGTTTGAGACAATGGATTGCAGAAGAGTTAAAGAGGTGTTGCCTACCATTCATTTGCGGTATCGCTTGTGCAGCTTCTGGCGATGTTTTCAGCATGGCTGCCTCAAAGCATGGCACAACACTCCCGTAAAAAGAGAAAGAGAGCCTTAAAGGCAAAGGGTTTCCATCTTTCCCCAGCAAAATGCAGCTCCCCTAAGCAGAACACGGTGCTGCACAATATAACGTTTGCCCGTTAAGCATTTCTGTCTTTGTGTATGTTTTCTGCACAGGAGGCCAGCTTTGGTGCACGACGACAAAAGCCATTGCTGAGGGTGAAGAGCTCATTGCCTTTGTTGTGGATTTTGACTCAAGGCTACAAGCTGCCAGTCAGATGACTCTTACCGAGGGGATGTATCCTGCTCGATTGTTGGACTCGATACAATTGCTCCCTCAACAAGCCGCTATGGCATCCATTTTGCCTACAGCTATCGTCAATAGTGAGTGCTCTAGTACAATTTATTTAATCTAAACCATTATTTAAACATTGCTGTATGCTTACCACATCACATTAACAACACCTATCTGTTGGGCTTAGGATTTCTCTGAATTCACCAGCAGAGGCTTTCAAGCCAGGAAAAAACACAGATTACCAGGTTCCTAGACCATGGGTGGGCCAATGTGGTGCCATGTTTCCGGATGCCAACTCCCATCAGCCTCAGCCAGCATAGTTAAGAATGATGGGAGTTGGAGTCCAGTACCATCTAGAGGGCACACCATTGGCTACCGCTGTCCGAAGCTGTATTTCTGAAGATGAGATTGCAGAATCATCCGCCCCAGAAAAATGTGACATCCCATTTTTTCTTGTGAGAGAACAGCAGCCAAAATGACTGCTGCGATCTCTTGCAATTTCAGGCTGCACTTTTGGGGGGCTTGGCACCAAAAAAACCCTCGCATTTTGGGGCTCCACAGAAGAGCACTGCCCCCCAAAAGCGCTTTTTGGGGGCTGTGATCTTGCGTGGGTCACATGACTCCCCTGGGAGTGTGGACCCAGAAGATGGCATCCTGGATTTGGGCCGCATTGCGCTGGCAGGTGTGCTTTATGATTGAATGCTCTTCCAAATAAATCACTCCCTCTGCTTAGAAAACCAGATATCAGTGAAAGGATCTTGGCTTAGCCTTTTCCTTGGCATGCTAGGTTTGTGTGTGTGGTAAGTTCCTGCTTCTAATCTTCGACCCCCTCCCGTCAATGGAGGATTAAGTTCTTCAACTAAATTCTACCGTTCTCACAGCCAATGACCTGTTTGTTTGTTTGTTTCCTTGGGAAAAAATTTACACAATATTTTCTGATTGAGGTTCCACTTGAATGGTTCCCTAATCTGGCTACCAGGGGAGAGGGAAAGAAAATACATAAATGTATAATACACACAGGCTGCGTACCTGTTTTCTTGACTCCAACTGCAGAGAACATGAAAGATAATTGTTAGATAAGTGAGCTGTGTATATTTCGTATTGATGCCCAGACCCAGAATTTACAACAAAACAAAAGAGGGGGTGAGGAATTACTTCTCGCACCTGGTTTCCTTTGAGCTGTTATGTGTTGTTTATTAATCATGCACTATGCTGCCACCCTGCTGTTAAATGGGTACTTTTAAAATAAGAAGATCAGGCAGCTTAAACTTGTTGGACTAAGGCTTGTCGGCAGGAGTAAACTATGGCTTACTCACACCTGGTTTGTTTTACCCCCTCCCTTGTAGAGGACATATTCCCCTGCAAATCTTGTGGCATTTGGTATCGGAGCGAGAGAAATCTGCAAGCTCACCTCATGTACTACTGCAGCGGGAGGCAACGGGAAGGAGCTCAGCTTTCGGAGGAGAATGACGACAGCGTTCAGCAGATATCCAGCATCTGCCCTTTTCCACAGTGCACCAAAAGCTTCTCTAACGCAAGGGCCCTGGAAATTCATCTGAATTCTCACAGTGGTAAGTGAAATATTTGCTCCACTGGAGTCAGCTTTCCTTAAGACATTTCAAACTTAATTCTTTTTTTCCTCCTTTTTAGCAACATGCCCATGAGAAGTTGTAAAAAAGGTGAAGCCACAAGCACTCAACTCAGTGATTACTGGCTTATGCTGCAGTAATCACCTGTTCTGTTTAAGATATTAAAGTATCACAACTGTCCTACCTTTTTCTGAACTAAATGGGAAGATCAGACGAGGCAAAAGCCATTCATGATATGACGGTGCTTGTTAGGTGATATGAATGTCAGAACTTAAGCCTTAACTAAATGGTAGTCCTGGGACTGGTGCTGTCATTGAGATAAGCTGTTTGCATAGCATCATGCTATTATCCCCATAAGGCTGATAAAGGTGGGGTCGGACCTTGCCTTGAAGACTGCCAGGCTTAGAGTCTGGGATGAAGGGGAAAGGGTCTCAAAAGTCCATGCTGAATGTCCTTTGTCCTGGTGTGACTCATGGTCACAGAATGTCTCCACATGGCCAGCCACCACATAGTGTTCTGCACTGACCAGCATATGGGTGATTTGGGAGTGGGTAATTTCTGTGGTCCACGTGTCATGGCCAAAAGAAATTCTACTTAGGTTTAGGCTTTCATTTGCTGCTTCTCTCTGCTGTTGGGGTGGTGGACATATGAGGATGATATCCTGATATCAGGATATCATCCTGGGTGACAGGATGTATGTGATGGAATTTAAGGGATTCATCATAAGAGTCCTTAGGGAGTTTTCTGTTGGCATGGCCAACACTGCTCTTGAAACCCTAATTGGTTTATATGATGCAGACATGGCTTGGGTGGTTGCCATGATTGCTCTCAAGCCTTCTCCCACAAGACACAGCCTGTTCATCTTACTGGGGGCAATAACGCAGCCTGAATGCAGGTAGTGGAAAACTCTGTGTGAATCTGGCCAAATATAGGTAAAAGTCCAGCTTCAAGAATGTCCTGTGGTTGTGATGGCAGCAAAGGAAATATAGCCACTGAGTGCCATCTAGCAATGCTCTTCTAGGTGTTCTTCTGTCTTATTCAGCCTGGCTAGCAGAAAAGGCCCATGGGTAACCTGCTATGACTAGCTTAGTAAGCACTCACTAAGACACTCACATCTTATTCATATCTATCATCTATCTATCTATCATCTATCTATCTATCTATCTATCTATCTATCTATCTATCTATCCACACACATACATACACACACACACACACACACACACACACACTTTTGTAACTGCCCTGGGAATGTGAAGTGTGCATTATAAAATTCAGAAGTAAGCTTATAAGGATTTGTAATTGCTTTCTGTTAAACATATTCTGGCAGACAAAAGACTCAAATTAACTTGTTGGTTTTGTTTTTTTTGTTCTTACCCCTTTCGCAGGAGTAAAAATGGAAGAATTTCTTCCCTCCGGTTCTAGCCTGAAATGTACGGTTTGCAACTACACCGCAGACTCTGTGATTAACTTCCATCAGCACCTGTTCTCACATCTCACTCAAGCTGCCTTTCGATGCACACACTGCCATTTTGGCTTCCAAACTCAGAGGGAGCTGCAGCAGCACCAAGATCTACACGTCTCTGGCAACAAACTTCAGAGAGAAAGTGATACTGAACACTCTCCAAGTGGCAACGAAGAGACTTTGCAGGCAACTGCAGATCTGCTGAACAGGAATGACGGCTCCCAAAGCCAAAAGACAATGCAGACAAAGGATGCAAGTTCTGACACCGAGCTCGACAAATGTGAAAAAAAGACTCCCCTTTTCCTTCCAAATCAGAGGCCAGAAACACAGCCTGTCACAAATAAGCAAAGCTTTTCCTACACAAAAATAAAATCTGAGCCATCTAGCCCAAGGCTTGCCTCGTCCCCAGTCCAGCCTAACCTGGGTCCTTCTTTTCCAATGGGACCTTTTCTTTCTCAGTTCGCTTTCCCCCAGGACATCACTGTTGTTCCTCAGGCCTCTGAGATCTTAGCCAAAATGTCCGAGTTGGTCCACCGAAGACTGAGGCACGGAAGTAACAATTATCCCCCGGTCATTTACAGTCCGCTCATGCCAAAAGGAGCTACCTGTTTTGAGTGCAACATAACATTCAACAATCTGGACAACTACTTAGTGCACAAAAAGCATTACTGCAGCAGTCGATGGCAGCAAATGGCAAAGTCGCCAGATTTTGGCAGTGTTTCGGAAAAAATGCCGGAGGCTGTGAGCCCCAACAACGGTCAAAATTCTATCAACATTTTGAGTAGTACGCCTCACACTTCAGACCCAGAGAATCAGCTCCTTCAGGCTTCCTGCATCAACTCCTCCACTGTATTAGACATGATTGGGCCAAACAGTAAGGGGCATGAAAAGGACTTCTCCTCCCAGGTGAAAAAGCTGGCTAGTGCTGCCAACAGTGATGAGAAAATGAACGGGAAACCTTCCGATAGCAAGAACTCAACGACTACTCCTTTAATTGAAGGAGAAAGTGATCCCAACAAAACCACGTGCGAAGCTTGCAATATTACCTTCAGTAGGCATGAAACATATATGGTCCACAAGCAGTATTATTGTGCCACACGTCACGATCCTCCCTTGAAAAGGTCTGCTTCCAACAAAGTGCCTGCCATGCAGAGGACGATGCGCACACGCAAGCGAAGGAAGATGTATGAGATGTGCCTGCCGGAACAAGAGCAGAGGCCACAGCTGGTCCAGCAGCGTTTTCTTGAAGTGGCTAATCTCCCCAACCCATGCACATCTTCTCAAGAGCCGACAGATGGCCTCGGGGAGTGCTACCACCCACGCTGCGATATCTTTCCAGGAATAGTCTCAAAGCACTTAGAAACATCGCTGTCCATCAACAAATGCATCCCGGCCTCAAAATGCGACACGCCACATTCCACCGTTTCTTGCTTGGAGATGGATGTACCTATCGATCTCAGCAAAAAATGCTTGTCCCAGTCTGATAGGACATCTGCTTCCCCCAAAAGGTTGCTGGACTACCACGAATGCACAGTATGCAAGATCAGTTTTAACAAGGTAGAGAATTACCTGGCGCATAAGCAGAATTTCTGCCCCGTCACTGTGCATCAGCGTAACGAAATGGGGCAGCTTGACGGCAAAGTGTTTCAAAACCCAGAAAGCGAACGGAACAGCCCCGAGGTCAGTTATGAACGGAGCATAATCAAATGTGAGAAAAACGGGAGCTCGAAACAGCCTTCTCCCAACGGAAACCTGTTTTCTACGCACTTAGCAACTCTTCAAGGACTTAAGGTCTTCAGTGAAGCTGCCCAGCTCATTGCTACAAAGGAAGAAAACAAACATTTGTTTCTTCCACAATGCCTTTATCCAGGAGCAATAAAGAAAGCTAAAGGAGCAGACCAGCTTTCTCCATATTATGGAATAAAGCCAAGTGATTACATTTCTAGTTCCCTTGCCGTTCACAACAACGATGCAGATCAAAGTACCAATGCAGAAGGTGATTCCCTGAAGGGCCAGTCCCCCTCCAATGGGTGCCCAGTCCAGAAGAAAGAGTCTCTGCCATTGCTGCCAAAAAACAGAGGCATGGTTATAGTGAACGGCGGACTGAAACAGGAGGAAAGGCCTGCGGCAAACCCTCAGCAGGAGAACATTTCCCAGAATACCCAGCAGCATGAAGATGGGCACAAATCTCCATCTTGGGCCTCTGATAACGTTTTAGCTGCCAATGAAAACGTCTCTCCAACCACTCCTGCAGCAGAAGAACAGTTGTCTAGTATAGCAAAAGGCGTGAATGGGTCCACTCAGGCACCCACCAGTGGAAAGTATTGCCGCCTGTGTGACATCCAGTTCAACAACCTATCAAACTTTATAACTCATAAGAAGTTTTATTGCTCATCACACGCAGCAGAACACGTCAAATGAAAGCATTTGGCCCCACCTTTGGTACCTGTGTTTAGCATATTGTTCCATACGAGTCTGAAAGAGAGCTGTTTGTATTACTTCTGGACAATCAGGCTTTAATTCATCATTGCTGAGTTAAAGACTTTAAAGGTGTACTTCCATTACAGTCCATTAGTAAAGTGTATTCTTGGTGCCATTTTCAAAACAATTAATTTATTTTACCAGCAGTATTCATAGCTGTAGTTTATTTTTTATTTAAAAAGAAACAACAACAACTTTATATTAAAGTCATTTGTAATGTTATTGTATAGTTATTGTGTAGCACATATGGTTTGCACTGTATAGTAGATTTTAAAGAAAATAGTCACAAACTATACGGAAAAGCATTTTAGAAATAGCTTCAAAAGCACCTGTGTATCCTGATTTTTTTCCCTTATATGCTATTGCAGATATATGTAGATGCTAAAATATAACTTGCAAAACGTTTCAACTATGCTGTAAAGTTCGCCTTAAAATTTCAATTTCAATTTTTTTTTATTAAAAAGAAGAATTTGGCTCAATTTGCACTTTATATTTTAGCAGATACAGTACCTTAGTCACTAGGCTTTGCATTTGTATGTAGCAGTATGTTTCTGTCTACTTTCTTAACCCGAAACGTCTGTTAAAACGAAGATGGCAATTCCCCCCCTTGTATAGTACTTGTATTTTCTTTTGCTGATGCATCTCTGTCTCGATTTTTAAACCTTTGCTGTTAAATGCAATACTTTATAAAGAATGAACAAAAATTACTGGAAGCAGTATTGTAAGTAATGAGGTCATATCTATCAGTTTTATCTTTTGAAAGGCACAGTCAAAATGAAAACCTTAACTCAATGCTGCAAGTATGAATCTAATTCATTTATAAGATATATTTAAATATAAAAGTAGCAATACTGCAACTGGTGATCACAGAGATAATGTTCTACTTCTGATAGAAATAATTTCTCAACAAATGTTGTTACTATGCATGTATATGGATGGAATAAAATTCCACATCGTCGGACTGTTCTGGCAGTAATTCATTCATTTGCAAGGGCTTCTTAGTATATTCATTTGGGGTGTGTGGAATGTACCAACACAACACATTCGATTGTAGAGGGTCTGTGTCCTATGACAGTATCCCATCAAACAAGATATAAGGAGGGGGATGAGCAATCTAAAGCTGTTCAGGAAAGGAGTATTTCTGGTCCCAGTCACTTAAGCCACGCAATTCGCTCAGTGAGTGGCGGACCCCAGAAAATACTCATCTCCCTGAATTGAGTTCCGTTCTCACCAAGGCACACTGAAAGGGTTGTGACACATATACTGAAGTTCCATGTTGACTTCAAGTATATCACTGAAAACAGACATAAATAGTGTGTTGGGAACATAGGAAGTTGTCTTATACCAAGCTACACCTTTAGTCAACCTAGCTCAGTTCCGCCCCTGCTGGTTGGCAGTGGCTTCCCAGCATTTTAAGGAAGCACGTTTTCCCCCAGCCCTACCTAGAGATGCTGGAGATTGAATATAGAACCTTCTGCATGCTAGAAAGCTGCTCTACCAGTGAGCTACAGGTCCTTCCCCCTAATTTGCATCAGCTTGCTTTTGTACCACCTTGCTAAAGCCCAATCCATGCAAAGCTCAGCAGGTGCACTGAGCACCCACAAACCCAGGAGCACACACCTGGCGGATCTAGAACTCAGCTCAAACTCGGTCAAGGGGTTAATAATGAGATAGGTGGCGTAAGCACCATAACCTTAGCAAATTACACACCAATAATTTTCCAGTTTCATTATTGTGGGGAGTGGAGGTGGGAAGCCTTACTCTCTCCAGATGTGCCTGGGTTGCAACTGCCACTATCCTGACCATGGGCCATGCTGGCTGCAGCCAATGGGAATTGGAGTCCAGCAACATGTGAGCCACAGCTGAAGCCTTGGGATCTATGACTACTCTTTCCTCTCCTCAGACCTCAATAAACTGTTCAATTTATTCCATCCTAGACCAGTTTCTTGAATTCTAAGTGTAGCCATCATACACCTTGAAATGGTGACTGCTGACCCAATTTGGATTAACCTAGAAATGGTTTATGGTATTCAAGACTTTAATAGGCAGCTTCTTTACAGTTTAGGAGCACAAAATGGGGCACCGCCATGTAAGGTACTTTGTGTATGGCTTTAAAAACCTATGGAAACACGGGTGAATTTGTGGAATTTATCTAAGAAACAAAACAAAACCATGCTACAACCCTACATTTACAAGGTTCAGTTATATAATGTTACAGCTGGAACGATAATGGGGAAAATGTAGATCCAAATCTATTGGAGTGATTTGTAGATTAGCAAGCATTCCAACACTTTTTTTAAATAGCCCAAGTCCTTCACCTGTTCAGATTAAACTGCTGAAATGAAGAGCTTGGGATACTAGGAACAAATTTTTGTGTGGAAGGACTATAAGCTCCATTCATTTCTGGTAATCAGAACAACTTCCTTAATTCTTCACTGGGCATGAATTTTGCACTAGGCTCTGGTGGGTGGGTCCTGGATATCTAATAAAAAACCAAGGCAGTTTCTGCAGGCCTGAAGTCTGCCTACCTTGCATCATTCCACCTTCCTGGACTGAGATATGAGCCACAATAACCTGAACCTCAATACAGGAAACTATTATTTGAATTACAGGATACCATCAGACATAAGCAGAGGGCAGGAGCAGGTATGGGGTAACACGCCAATGATGCTTAAAGGACAAGGAATTGGATTTGTGAAATATGAGCAGGTGTTCCAGGTACGAAAACCACGCATTGGAGGGAAAACTAAAAGAAGCCCATTGTTTCTTTGCGGAAAATTTGTTTCAGCCTCTCAACAATCTGGCAAACTGGACTCTGCTATTTAAAGAACAAAGTGTAAAGCCACCCACTGCAATTTCCCTTGGGAAAGTGTTCTTAATTCTTGAGCTGCTATCCTCAGTTGTGAACATCTCTGATGCTGTGCAGGATGGACGAATAGCTTCAGGGGGAAATAACATTTTCCATTCCCACTGGGCCACTGTGTAAGCACCAGCTTAAAATTTATCATGCAATATCCTCTATAAGTGAAGCCAGCTGAGTTTTTAAACTAATGATATTCTTTGCTCCCATGGCTATTCTAGGGTGATTAATCCAGAATTCCACATCTCCAAGGACAGATAGGAAATTTTATAAATGGATAGAATATATCCAATTTTTCTCTGCACCCATTAACTCTCTCATTTTCAGGTTGGGTATGCAAATATTTAATAGCAAGATGAGATTACTGAGATATTGGCATGGAGTTAAGAGCTCTTAAGGGAGAAGAACAAAGAGAAAATGTAGTACATTTATAATCTTTTTCTGTAAAAGACAGGTGTTAGCTATTGTGTGCAGGCCTCACATTTAAAACGAACTAGTTCCTCTCAAGGGAAAGAGAAAGATACAAGTCGGATTTACTTGCTAACAGGATTTGCTTTCAAATTATTGCATTCAGGAAATGAGTTTTGTATGTGGCCATTTCAATTGTTAAAATGGTATTCAGAAAAACCCTAGCAAAAAATTTTTGGTCCTGCCTTAATGTGTCCCTTTGTTCATCATCTTTGACTTTCTACAACCAGTTTCCTTATTCCTGCAACCTCTTAATTGCCCACTGATGTTGGCAGGGGTGACAAAATGGGGAAAAAACATGCGTGTGTGATCTATGTGTGCATGTGTGTGAGTATGGGGTTGGGCACACCTACCTTTGGGCACACCCATTGCTCCCATGGTGCCCCCAGAGGATTGGCCAAAGGTGAACGCAACCCTCAGGCCAAAAACAGTGTTTTCCTGGCTCCTGCTGGTTCCCCATCCATCTCCACCTCCATCGTTCTGGCCGGACACTGAGATCCAGCACCGAGGGCCTTCTGGCGGTTCCCTCACTGCGAGAAGCCAAGTTACAGGGAACCAGGCAGAGGGCCTTCTCGGTAGTGGCACCTGCCCTGTTGAACGCCCTCCCACCAGATGTCAAAGAGAAAAATAACTACCAAACTTTTAGAAGACACCTGAAGGCAGCCCTGTTTAGGGAAGCTTTTAATGTTTAATAGGTTATTGTATTTTAGTGTTCTGTTGGAAGCTGCCCAGAGTGGCTGGGGAGACCCAGCCAGATGGGCAGGGTATAAATTATTATTATTATTATTATTATTATTATTATTATTATTATTAAAACCCCAAACTCCTTTAGCAGTTGCTTGTATTAGCTCCAAGGGAATGGGCAATCCAATAAAAGATGTGCCATCACTGACTTGTGTCTGTTGTTCTCTGGGACCAATATAGTATCAACGATAAGAAGCATATTGGTGGATGACAATCAGCCATGAGACATCAAAATGGTTCCATTCCATAAGAGTCAAGTTTGCAAATAAGCTGGGTAAGAAAGAGCACTAACTGGTGATGCTCTCTCTGAATATCTAGGTACAGGGCCTGAGTACGACCCTCTTTCCCTCTTTGCCTAGGTCTTCAGCCCACACTCCCACCTTTACCCACTTTCTGCAGACTGCACTTCTCACATGCCCCGCTAGCCGCTCCCTGTGAGTGCATTTGGCTGTCTGGAATATGTCCTTGAACTGTGACTTATGCCTCTTGCATGGAAGATGGAGAACTGGGTGTGTGCTGAAACCTCTGACTTTTGCTAGACTGGCATGTATCCCGTCTTACAACACTGGTTGCTGGTGCCTACTGGGACCCATAGGGTCAAAGGCAGGGAGACCAACAGGAGCCAATGGCTGGTGGAGCTAATTCTAGCCTTGATCCCATCTTGCTGAGTTCTACAAGAGGCAACTTCGAGACGGAGGAGGAGAAGGAGGAAGCCGGCAACCAGTGCTACATCCTAGTCCTTGTACAAGTAGGAAGGCATTCAAGCAGGGGGGCTGGCTGAGGGCAGACTGAGCGTGGTGGGGCAGAGATCCATTTGCCATAATGGACCAACCTCCACTGCTGAACAAAGGTAAGAACCAGCAGCACACCTGTGCCTCTGGGCCATGTCCTCCACTGCCATGCAGCACCCAGAAGGTTGTCCATGATGGATGGAAGAAAGGCCCCCACCTCTGGTCTAGGAATACAAATGCAGGAATTAACACGGATGGGTTATATCTTAACATCTTTAACCCTCCCAATGTTCTTGCAGTCAGTTCTGGTTAAAGAGCGATAAAGACGTGCAATTATTTCAGCACACTTAACAGGTGAAGCGGAGATTCTGATCTGCACTAATTATTGTAGGGATGCAACCAGGGAATGGTCTGCAATCCAGATTAATTAAAACCAAGTGCAAAAACACAGGGAACAGGATGTAGTGTGGCACGGAGAAGGAGGAAAAGGGACGGGATCCTGCAAATTTAACGGAAGAGAAAATTCCACCAGGTGTCGCTTGTCATGCATGACACCTGCCGAAATCCCACGACTATGAAACGTGCAGGGGGCTGTGTCATCTTTTGCATCCGATCACCCTAATGAGATGTTCTGTGTGCGTTTTTGGTGAAGCCAAATTGTTACACAACAAAGATGTAATAATATTCTGGGTTGTTTTTATTTTTTAAAATGTAAAAAACCACAGGAAGACTCATACCTGAATGCCAGAAGAGTGCGGAGAGACTGGTTAATATGGTCCCTTGCAGCTGAGTCTCCACCCCCTGCTCTGCTGCAATATGAAACTCATGCTTTCCCATGGACTGGATAAGCAGCTGAGGAGAGGATTTTGCATTGAACAACAGCCAAAGGAGAAACCAGTCCTCTCACCCACTATTTCTTTTTGCAAACTCTCAGCCCCTTGATGCTGCTGTTCATTAAAACATAAAAAGTTGGCTACACACGTCTGCCATGTAATATTGTAACATGACCCTAATAAGCATATTTTTTAAAATAAAAAACCAACATGACAGCTAGATTGAATTTAATAAACAGCTGCTTTATTATTACAGAGGAGGGGAAGAATGGTAATCCATTTGCAATGCAATCCTAACCATGTCTACTCAGAAGTAATACCAGTGAATTACAGGGCTTGCTTCTAGGTAAATGGAGTTTGGACTACAGCCTTCAATGCAAATAATCATCCAGCCAAACTAGTAAAAGAAACCTTCACAAAGTTAAATTTCACATACATGTTGTATTGGGGCTTTTAAAAAATTGAGAAGGGGATAGTTGTTCCCTTTGAACTACAAAACACCTGCTGTTCTTCAGTGGATATTCACCCCACGTAAATAGGGAACAAGCTTATTAATATTGGTTTCCTTCAAATGTGATGAAGAATAAACTGATTTAAAAAGGCCAGTTTAATTAGGGTTGCCCTATTTCAAAAAGTGAAAATCAACAAAATTTGTTGATTTTTTTTGGGCAAAGTTGTTTAATGCCACTTTCTATTAAAAACAAAACTGCAAGAACACATGCAGGAAGGTTTTTGGTTTTCTAGAAACCACTCTAATATATTAATTTTATTTTAAACTGGATGTATTTATTTATTTAGAATGATTATAATTGAAAAGCACATCAGGTGGTTTCTGCCCAATCCACTGCACACACACAAACTCTCAGGAGGGAACTTTACCCTGAGGTAAAATCCTCACAACTCCTTTTGAAATATCTCTGTTTTTGGAAGTGGCTTCAATATCATGTGTTCCCTTCAGCTTTTCCTGAAAACCATCCCCATCCACTAAACATGTCAGTTTGAGCTGGCAAACAGGTTAACCTCCAGTGATTTTGTGACAAACTGAAGAGCTAAATAGAAGAGCGACTGTCAGAAGGGACATTAGCGTATCTGTAACATAATGATCTTACAAAGGATACTAGAAATGTTTCTTTAAACAGTTGAAGAACAACCAATAGCCAGCACTTGCCTATCTGTCTCACTAGTCTGAGGATAAGCAGCTGACAACTTCTAGGTTTTGGGGGGACATCATGCCAACAATGGAATGCTAACAGTGAAACTTCTGTGAGGGAAGTGAAAGGTCAGTTTACACAGAAAGGCTCAGGCTGTAATGCAATGCTTACTTGCCTGAGATTTAAGCCCCTTGATATGCAGAGGATTGGGCTTGAAAGATAGCTGTGGCTGAGGAGGAAAGACGGTAGAACAGTTAGCAGAAGTCTGGAGTAAGGGAAATAAGTCCAAACTGAGAGTTCACACTGAAGGAGAATGCATGGTGGGAATGCACAAGTTCAATGCTCATTCATGTAGTAACTAAACAATGGTTTAGTATTACAAGGTTAGGGAGGCCAGCAGTTAAGTCTGCTATACATCCCTCCCATTTTTATATACTGTAGGTTTCTGAAGATCTGTTTGTCTGATAGCTAAGCTATTCAGATCTTTATACTTAAGCCAAGAAATTGTTTCTATAACTACATTTAGCACTAATAGTCACATTAATGGCTCGAGACTACTGAGGAAGCCCAGAAAACTGTGCTCAGGGAGCAATAAATTGGCCCTGTCAGAGGAGAAATAGCAGCTCTTCAACTTTATGGACTGCTAGGGCGAAACGGGCATAGAACGCTGGCACCCTGTCTTCCATCTGCACTTCACAGCTACCGGGAACATAGTTGAACTTACCTACCTTCTTCTTGAACTTACCTAAAAAACAAGAAAAAACAAAAATTGAGTCAAGAAGTTGTAAGAACTTAGTAAAATCTGACACTGCAAGTTAAAAAGCTTATAAGTTTTCATGGCACTTCGTAAGTAGTTGTCTTATTCTCACAAATCTGATAAATGGTGAAAAAATTATTTTTAAACAAGAATATTAATTGTGTGAATAATTGTCGCCTATGTGCTGTACGGGTTGCACAATCATTATTAACAGCACAGGTTGTATTTCTTCAGCAATGTTAACAGGAGTGGCAACACTATCCATACAGTTCAATGGGAAATGCACCTTTAGAGTGAATGGGCGGGGGGCACTTCAGAGGCCTCCCTTGTATTATATCCATTTTGCTTCATGACAGGTTAAAATAAACAGTATGATGCTGTCCATGTTTACTCAGGACAGGAGTAAGCACCTCTAAGTCCAATGAGACTTATTCCCGTGTAAAAATGCATCGATGAAATCCTCAGGCTGTAACCTACCTGCTGCCCCATATCTCTTCTGCACCTTGCATTATGTAGTGATACAAAAAACAAAAAGTGATGCAAGCATTGTGTGCTTCCCAACACCCACACCAGCCCACTTCATTGGTTACCATTTTCAGGGGAGGGAAAACTTGCAACACAATGTCCTTATAACGCAAGGCCTACATAACAGATGTAGATGTCAGTATATGGAAACATCACAGCTGCAGACAGCCAGATTGTTGACATCACATGATGTGCCTATCTGTGGGAAAGAAGAATTTCCCAGGAAGTTCACAGGCTGGAAAAGTCTCTGTGAAGAGTGTAATCTGAAACCTTCCATTTGCGCATGTTCAGGAAGTTTGTCAGACTTGCTAGAAGAACTGAACTGAAAGGACGTGCTTTTCTCTAGTGCTGTAATGTCAGAAATAAACATCATGTAAATAGATTTCTGAATTGTTTTCTTTCCCCTGCGGAAGCAGGAGGGAGGGGTTGTGCATTTCCCCATGTTTGGGAAAATGTCGCCTATCAAAATCTCCCTGGTCTGTCTGGATGTCAGCCAGAGGAGGTTACCGGTAAGCAAGCTCCGAGGACAGTGAGAGGGGCCAGCCTCGGTGGAGGGGGCTTGCAAACCGACAGTAGACACATAACAGACAGGCAAAAACATTAGGGAGGGTTAAAGGCAAAGAGGTAGCTGTAGCGGCCCAGGTTGTGTAGCCTGGGAGAAGTCAGATAGGGAGGTCTGTGGGGGGCTGCATTCAGACCTCTGGCCTGGGGCTCCCCATCTCTTACCTTCGCCAATACCCCCGTGAGGCTCTGCCATTAGAAGCTTAGGTTATTAGGTTAGCTGGAGGTTATCAGCAGAAGGAAGTAAACTCCTAAACACCACTGAAATAGCTATACTAACAGTGGCACATATTGTCCTTATGGGTCTATCCTAAAAATATGTCTCCTCCTGTCTCTGTTTTTATTTTGCACTTCTCTGACAAGCCGCATCAGTTGAAAATCACAGTTATCCATACGTAATTCTAACGACGACCTTCCTCAGGCCGCAAGAAATGGAAATCACTCTCCTAAGCAGCCCTATTAAAGTAGAGTTCTTTTTCAAACGGTTAAAAAGCCAGAGTTTTGTTTTGGGTTTCTTTGCCAATAACCAATGGGAAGGAGAATTATAAGTCTTTTCTCCCCCCCTTTTTTTTTCTTGTCCCATAAGGTGAAAAAGTAAAAATAAATAAAACGAAAATGAAATGTGGTGTTACTTTGTCCCTGTAGCATTTGCAAGTTATTCTGGCATTGCCCTCATAAAGATACAGTTCAGGCTTCTGAACTGATATTGAAAGGCAGAGTTCAAGCACATTTTATAGACGTTTGGAGCAATCAGCAGCAGTTGAATGAGAGATGTGATCCAGTCGCTGATAAAACCGAAATGATTTGTTTCATTACAGTAAACATTTTGATGCAAATGGTTAGCATTCTGGAAGCGCGAACAAGGCAGCTATCAGAAGCCGGAGTGAAGTTAATACCACCACGTGTACCAAAGACCATTCTCACTTCTTTCTTGGAGGGAATTACCTACTTCATCTTACAAATTCCCCATAAAAATTCAGGTCAGGCGTTGAGGACCTTGGCTAATACCAACACACCTCCCATTGAAATGAATCATGGACTCACTCGCTTCAATTGCAGCTTTTAAAAGAACGCCAAAAGAGTCTTCTTGACCTTTCAGAGGATTCTATTACATTTATATACTCTGCAAACCACACATTCTGTGTTTGACATTGCCTGCTTTTCATTGTGCAACTGTTGTCTTCTTATGTAAATCAGTGAGAAACAGCAACAGCTAGGCTGGAGGCCCCTTCAGTAATAGGCACTGTTTTTTGCTGTGTACCTTGGTTAAGTCTCCTATCCTCCCAAACAGTATATATACAGTATATACACAGCCCAGATGATGCATTCGGGTATCCAAAGCTTTCTGCACATAATTCTCACGCCAGCAGAGGACAGGTGTAGGAAAACCTGCCCTGATCTGCAACAATTACATTCATTAATAAGCTTGCCAACTGGGGACAGCTCCATAAAAGAACAAACCATGGTTACATGTCATCGTTCATCTGAAGCAAGAAAAAATAATTAAGCTGGGTGTGGATAACACACAAAGCCAAACCATGGCTTAGCTCATAGCAGCACAGCAGCAAGAAGACCAGTGGAGGAACCACAATCTCTTCCCTAGGAACCGCCATGTTTTGGCTAGAGTAATATATGAACCGGGCCAATAGCTGAACATAATTCTAAACCATGGTGTAGTGAAGGATAAGCAAGCCTCATGCCTTCCTGAAGGCTCACATACTCTCCTTCCCTTCCCACAAGGATGAGAGTTCAGAAGCTTCACTGCAGATTTTAGTTAATCACAGTTTGCCGTGTTGCCTGAACCAGAAACTGTGGTCAATATTAACAATGGTTAGTTTAACAGACATTTGCAAACCATGGTTTGATGTTGGCTCGTTTTATATTAATCACAGTTAATAATGACGCAACACACTGTGGTTAACTAAAAGAAAAAGCTGAAGCTATAGTTAAGGAAGCAGCCCAAACTTCAAAATGCTAAAATTCTGTGGGTGTGGTTTCTACCACATCCACAGTCCACCACTTGTGCTAGCCAAAGTAGAAGTTGAAGGGCAGGGGGAAAACGCCTTTACTCTTCCAGCTCCCAGGCTAGTGTAGTTGCAGAGGCCTAAATTGTGATAAAGAGGTCCTCTGCTGTCACGTGATGACAGCAAGACCAACCCAAAATCCAGTGGATCTTGGGCCATGCCAGTGCTTCCCCTGAAACACCCGGTTTCAGGAGTTTTTGCAGGATACTCCCCACTCACTGGTGATAGCTTCCTTTTGCCTACCATTGGGCAGGCTCCACTGGGTTTCAGTACAGCAGTGGCAACAGCTGAGGTGCCCCACTGCCAGAGGCCAGAAGATGCAGGCAGGACTGGGCAAAGGGACACCTTTGCCTCATCCAAACCTGTTCCGGCATGGCGGCTCAGAGGCTAAGATTGCTCCATTAGCATTATGTCTGAATGCAAGCAGTATGGCGCTAGCTTTAATATTAGAATGCCTTTTTATTTTGAGGAACAAAAGGAAGGGAGGCTGGTCTTGCCAAACAGAGAAGAATTTCTCCTCTTTTTTCGACCACCGATTTGCTAGTGGCCTTGGCAGTTGAGTAATTGGAATGCCTGAATCATTGGCTGGCAAGCGATTGTAATAATCGCGGGTGGGGTTATGCTAAGAGACGCTCCTGATTACTGAGGGATGTTCCAGTCAATGGTTTGTTTTTAAACTAAATGACAAAGGGATTTGATCACACTACCTATCAATCAAGCAATTCAGCGGACAGATTTATACTGCTAAATTTGCATTTTCCCTCCCTCTCTCCTTAATCTGACTTTTATCTTTTGAGAATGGCGTTGGACGTATATGGTTATCCTGAAATGAATATTTTGTTTATGTATATGGATTCTTCAGATTGCCCACATTAGCGACTCTTAACCTTTAGACTGATCTATAAACATGTAAGAATAAATGTCAGCATTCATTTGTCATCTTGCAGTAAACTGTCAGGACTCGTTTCTCAGCTCGAATGGAGTATCTGCTTAAGGATTTGTGCTGGGCTTCATAATAAAAGCAGATAAACATCCACGCAACTCATCACGAAAACTCGATACCAACCGTATACACCCTATTAGCACCTTAATGCACATTTCAGGTTACATCTCGCAGAAATCAAATGGATTCAGTAGAACTTGTTGCTGGAAAAGGTGTGTATGACTCACTCCAGAAATGGTAACAAGTAGTACATCATCAGGGAAAGAAAAACATGGGGGTCCCATAGTATACACTCAGCAGTGGTAGGACAAGTTGCCACAATTTAAAAGCAACCATTTTGGTCATTCATTCGTTTTAAAAATGTATAGCCCACCCTTCACTGGTACTGATGCCAGCATAGAAACCAACATGGGAAGCTGACTTATTCCATTGGCCCATCTATATTAGTATTGTCTACAGTGACTGGCAGCTCCTCTCCAGGATTTCAGGCAGAGATTTCTCCCAGGTGTACCCAGAGATGCTAGGGATTGAACCTTGCACCTTTTGCATGCAGGTGCTGCTGGCTGAGCTGCAGCCCTTAAGCATTCCAGAGTGGGTTAGAAGGTAAAGGTAAAGGACCCCTGGGCAGTTAAGTCCAGTCAAAGGCAACTATGGGGTTGCGGCGCTCATCTCGCTTTCAGGCCGAGGGAGCCGGCGTTTGTCTGCAGACAGCTTTCCGGGTCATGTGGCCAGCATGACTAAGCTGCTTCTGGTGCAATGGAACACCATGACAGAAACCAGAGTGCACGGAAACACCATTTACCTTCCCGCCGGAGCGGTACCTATTTATCTACTTGCACTGGTGTGCTTTCAAACTACTAGGTTGGCAGGAGCTGGGACCGAGCAACGGGAGCTCACCCCGTCGCGGGGATTCGAACCACTGACCTTCTGATCGGCAAGCCCAAGAAGCTCAGTGGTTTAGACCACAGCGCCACCCACTGAGCTGCGGCCCTTAAGCATTCTAGAGTGGGTTACAGTATAAAAGAGATTATATATTTTTAAAAATGAGCAAAACAAAATTCTTTAAAATCCCTGCTGGTTGGTGGCCAGGGTCTGGATTGCTCCCTAACAAATGCCAGTGTGTTATGGTATTAGGCCTCATCTGGTCCCAATGGGTGTTCCACCTCCAGCCTGGCTCAGCAATCATCCTGCACCCCTCTTCTGCCCTGGTTGCTGTGCCCAGCACAACTATGGATGTGGCTCTGCTGCCCTGTGAAGCCATGCCAGTCAGCAGGCAGGGTTTAGATTGCCTCCTAACATTGTACATACAGATGCACAAATATTAACACTGCACAGGTGTGTCTGCATATAGCATTGTTGTTGGCTTCCATCAACATGGGGTGCATGTCTAGGTGTGAAGTCAAGCTGTTGCATTAGCAGCACCAAAGTGTCTTCCCCGGCGTGTAAGCCTGGGCAGTGTGTATGGAGGTCCTGGGTTGCCCAGATGACAAGACCTCATTGATGTAGTCCAAAGGAAAGTGGACATTTCTGCGATTTCCACCTGGACGCTGTTTACGAGGGATGAACACCGACTGTGTCCGGGAAATTCTGGGTGTATGTCAGCCCTAAGCAATATGTTTAGCACCAGCTTGGCTGCAGGGGTTGTCAGAAGGAAGCATAAAAGGCACCACCCAACCATCTTATGACCTTTACACCATTGTGTAGGGTTTACTCCTGCGGAGGTTTAGGACCAGAGTTTTCCTTCTCCTTGATGGGTTACCTTCCCAGGTTGATGAGCCCCATCTGCCCCTCACTTCTCTCTACAGCCCAAGCAGTAACCCTTGTTGGTCTCGTCTGTTCCATCTGCCAGAGCCTATCTTCTCACGCACGGGAAGTCCTTAACTCACCAAGGCTTGAGACCCATCGGCTACCCTCCCTGGTTTAGCCAGGCAGTCAAAGCCGCTCCCAGTATATGGCCGCTGTTGCATGCTGACAGCTTCTAGGAGCTGCAGGTGAGAGAGCTGAGTGCAGGGTGGGGACTGAAGGTGGACAAACACCCCCAGAAGGAGCACAACATGTCCCTCACCAGAGGTACTACCCCTCCCCACACATAGCATTGCAGAGTAATATAAATGAGCATCATTTCAGATCATTGCAGAGTAATATAAATGAGTGATCCTTCAAGGATCACTGCCTTGCCGTGGCGAAGGGGCTTGAATAACTCAGAGAAGCTATGAGCTATGCCGTGCAGGGCCACCCAAGATGGACAGGTCATAGTGGAGAGTTTTGACCAAACATGATCCAGCTGGAGCAGGAACTGGCAAGCCACTCCATTATCCCTGCCAAGAAAACTCCATGGACAAAGACAACAGACATATGACAAAAGATTGAGGGCACAAGGAGAAGGGGACGACAGAGGACGAGATGGTTGGACAGTGTTCTTGAAGCTACTAACATGAGTTTGACCAAATTGCGGGAGACAGTGGAAGACAGGAGTGCCTGGTGTGCTCTGGTCCATGGGGTCACGAAGAGTCGGACACGACTAAATGACTAATAAATGAGGAATGAAGGAAGCCCCCTGTGCCCCAGAGATAGGAAAGGGTCAGAAGGGAGATGAGCCCTAGGGGATGTGTGTGGCCGGCTAGAAAGGGAATGTTTCAGGACCAAGACATCTAAAATGACACACATGAAGGGATGGGCAGACAGATTTCCAGTCCGCAATCACTGAACATGGCATCTCTTTCCAGGAAGAGGGGAAAGCTCTAGCCAAAGTTTTACAAAGAGCACAAATGGAGGGACTTTTTTTTTTTTTTTTACAATTAACTGAGTACCCTAGATCTTAATGTGGCACTCATGGTCTTGGGCAGATTAGTGTGAAATTTAATTTCTGCTAATCTGCCCAAGACCAGGGAAGCACAAAATATTCTCTGTGCAGTGTTTACCCACTTTCCCGAATATAGATATATGCATGAGCAACAAATCATGCAGTTTCAGGTTTACTAGAGTGAATATATATAGTCACATTAGGCATGGATTGAAACGCTTCTTTTTTTGTGAAATAGTAACAAGACTTTGACCATATATATATATATATATATATATATATATATATATATATTCTGCTAACACTTGATATTTTTAAAAAATTAATAGAAAATAAGTTTAGATACCCCCTCATGTAATGCCTCCCCTCAAGAGCTTATTTTAACTTGAGGTCTTAAGACAAATTCAGGAGAAAAAGGTTTAACCAAACTGACTGGTAAATGGAATCTCCTTGGCCAGTGTTGGGTGACGCCAGGGCTTAGTGGGCTTGTCTACCTTCCCACGTGATGTAGTGGCACTCATTTGAAGTGGCCAGAAGCCAAGCAACCACCAGCGATATAGGAGAGGCCTTTTTTGGGCCAGTGGGCACATTTGGAATATTGAAAAAGTTCTGTGGGTGCCAGTCACAAAATGGCTGCCTTGGGGTGTGGGTGTGACATAACACAAAATGGCTGCCACACATGAAAAGTAGCAGAAGTAAAAAGCAGAAGAGGCGTTATTTCAAATAAATGAAACAAATAAACAGTCACTGGCACAAAACTGTTTACTGCAACTCAGGGCAGTATGGAGTGAAACATACTCCTTCAGGTACCTGAAATCTAAAACATCCAAGAACCAGCTTGAAAAGGGGGCATAGAGGGAGAGAGAGAAAGTTCTGTTTCTGCTGAACCTCTGCCACATATGAAAGAGCAGAAAAGGAGACAGCAACACAAAAGGTGTGCCCGCCCATCAATACAGAACAGATAAGAGAATAGGTGTCCAATTCTTACATCAAATTAAATATAGGCATGTTTAAGAGTGTATTCTCAGCTGAACCTTTTACTAAGAAGGGTGCAATGCTAGCTTGCAAGAAAAAATAAAGTTTAATTATGCAAGCAGGGTCTTAATCCATCAGTGAATCAGTAACTGTTTCTTGAATGAAATTCTGAGTTACTACAGCAAAACATTAGTTGTTTGTGCTTAATTCAATTGCAAGCAGTTTGTTCACCAGTAAAATAAAAAGCAGTGAACGGCTGAGACAGTGATAAAAGGATACATGGGTCCAAGGACAGTTAGCGGTGATGTTGGCAATACCGGTCCATGTAGAAACAGGGGCTGCCCAGTTGCTTCCAAGAATATTATGGGCTAGATTAATGTTTAGAGCCAAAGCTGGGCTTGAGTGCTTTTCCATTAAGTGCCTGGCAGTTCTCTACCTTGACTATCCTATCCAGGAACAATTTGCCCCCCATTTCTCTCGTTCAGTATAGTCAAGCAAAGTGTCGTGAAAGCTTTCTGAATGGCAGAGGAGATGTTCTATGTGAATAAACAGGTGTCCCCACACCCACTCCAGATTTCTGAACAATGTGGATACTTCCAGGAAGACATGATCCAAACTGGCCCACTGAAAACATGGTGGGATTTTATTTAGCAGCTACTGAACTGTTATGGGGTCTCATCCTAAAACCACGTTCCAACTGGTTGGCATTGCTTCAGATAAAGAATTCAGCCTGCTTGGATTAGAAGCAGGGCCCTTGCTTCATGTTGGACCTTATAGGTAGAAAACCAGCTCCACTCATTCATAGGTAATCCACAGAGCCGAGCTGTGACTTGAGACAATCACAGCGATGGGATAATAACATTGTTTGCATTCAGACTGTGTCAAATGCAGATTTCAGTTCTGGCTGCTACGGCAGTAGTTGTGGCTGAATTAGAGTCCGCACCCCACACCCGTTAATCACGTACGGCCAGTTGACAAGCTGTCAGTTATTTTTAAAATTATGCCCATTTTCTGGTGGTACTTTCATGTAAAACTAGCAGTCACTGCTTCTGCAGGTTGGCAATGCTAGGGCAAAGCAGATATATATTTATAGGGTGGCCTGCCCAATCTTAAAGTTTCAAGGTGGGTACCATACTTAGGGTTGCATGCATCATTACACCAGTGCAAGGGCCGCCAACCTTTCTGGATCACCGGGAACATTTTGAATTTTGACAAAGTGCTGTGGACATCAGTCAAAAAACATCTGCCATGGGAGCATGGCATAACACAACATGTGATTCATGAGAATGTTTTAATATTTGTTATGTATTATGCTACCCTACTCTTTTTTTGTAAACCACCCGGTGACCAGGTGTAGCTATAAAAGTATGTACCCTGGGAACGTTGTATAACCTGGTCAAAGTCAGTGCAAATTTTGGCTCTATGAATTTTGCAGAAACCAACCTGGTTTGCGCATGGTCCCTAGTGAAGTAGAAATCCGGGTTTGTTAGGTAATAGGGCACATTTTGATTTAAGCATCTGCACCGTGCACTTAAAGCACATTTCCAAAGGGTCGTCGTTTACCTCTCAAACAGCTACAATTCCCAGCACCCTTAACACACTACAGTTCCCAAGACTCGGGGGGGGGGAGCCTTGTGGTTTATATATATAGTGTGATATGGATGTGAACAGACAGAGCTAGAAAGTGCAATGTTTGGTCAAACAATCTGTAGGTTTTTTGGGTGCCTTTCCCACAAGATGACTCCTAAACAGAAATGAAATGACATTCAAAAAAGTGTAACCTCTGCGGTATAAGCAAATTGTAAAAGCTTTTTCTAAAATCTTGCCCTCTGTCGCTGAAGGGATACGGGAATTCCTGGTGCCGCAACCTATTATTATACACAGGCATTGGGGAACGGTCCCCAAGCACAGCATGCAACTAATCTATGAACTGCATATAATTTATAGTCAGAGGGAAAGCTATGGTCAATTTCCTTTGCCCATCAAACCTTCCCCCCTCCCTGTGAGTTTCTACTTAGGGAAAACTCAGTTGGCGTGAGAAGTCCGCTGTATGATATGTGAAGGTTTAATTTGATATGAAGAAACCCAAAATGCATAAAAAGGAGATGGCCATTAATATTACACATATTAGTGAATACTTACTCTACTGATAAATTGCTCTGTCAAGGCTGACTTCTGTGCAGGACTGAAAAGCTTGAGACTTTACGGCTCAACCAGGGACAGCAGAGACTCTGGTGGCTGACTAGGGTGATTAAAGGTGCTCTTCTTTCTTTCCCTCCTTCTAATTCTTCATGTGGTATTTGTTTGCAGAATTTAGGGTCCATTGATGCATTGCAGAGCTCATAAAGAACAGAAGTAGGCAGTGCGCTGCCCTACAGATATAACCTCTCATGCGCCCCTGAGCATTGGCCATGCTGACCGGGACTGACGGGACTGATGGGAGATGCAGTCCAGCAACTTCTGGGGGCAGCACCACATTGGACAAGTGGGAAAAGAATGAGAGAAAAGGTGGCCGGTGTCATCTTTTATATGCTGTTCCGTTATATTTGGGGGGTTGGCATTTTAAGAGCAAATATTTGCACAGTTCAAATGCTACACGGCTCCTGAAATCCTTTCTTTAAATAGTTTTAAATCCAGCCTAATACCTGTACTTAAAAGCCTATTAGAAGAGCAAAATGGGAGTGGGCCTTTATGAAGGGAGTTCCACAAAGACTGAAAAGGCCCTGCGTCATGTACCAGACGTTCTGATTGGCCATGGTGGTGAGCCTGCGAGCAACAGCTCTGCACCAGATTGTTTGGTCAGGCGGGTTGATACAAGTAATCCTTCAGGTAACCTGGCCCCAAACTGTTTAAGGCTTTAAAGGTAGCTCTTCAAGGTAGCACTAGCACTTTGTAGAAAAGCACCAGCAACCAGTGTAGCTATTATATGCCTAGATCACTGCTCTCACAAGCAACTGGGGACGGGACTGAAATTCAATTCAAGTTTTAAAGGCAGACCTGCCTACTTTCCAACGAGTGAACTGAAACACAAGATGTCCTTCAAAGTTCCGCCTTCTCCACATTTTGTGATGCAGTTCTGCAGCCTCATGAAACGCATATAGCAATTGCTTATACAAATGGCATATACCAGCCTCTACAGGAGGCTAGTAAAAATAAAATAAAATGCATACTGATAATTTCCATTAGCTTATTGACAAGGCTCAGCAATACCATTTTGTACAGATGTTCTTCAGGAAAGGGAGAAACACTTCAGTCATTTTTATTCTTATTTCCAAGGGCCCAACAGCTTGATCACATGTTGAGTTTGTCACCCTATTCAATCATGAAACTCTGCCTCTCAGCCTAGCCTACAACACAGGGTTGTTGTGAGGATAAAATGGGGGTGGGGACCATGTACACACCCTTGAGTTGTTGGGGGGGGAAAGGTAAAGGTAAAGGTATCCCTGCCTGTACGGGCCAGTCGTGTCCGACTCTAGGGTTGCGCGCCCATCTCGCTTAAGAGGCCGGGAGCCGGCGCTGTCCGGAGACACTTCTGGGTCACGTGGCCAGCATGACAAAGCTGCAACTGGTGAGCCAGCACCAGTGCAGCACACGGAAACGCCGTTTACCTTCCCGCTATAAAGCGGTGCCTATTTATCTACTTGCACTTAGGGGTGCTTTCGAACTGCTAGGTGGGCAGGAGCTGGGACCGAATGACGGGAGCTCACCCCGCCGCGGGGTTTCGAACCGCCGACCTTGCGATCAGCAAGTCCTAGGCACTGAGGTTTTACCCACAGCGCCACCCGCGTATGGGGGGGGAGGTGGAATATAATTTTCACTATAAAGTAAGTCCCACTATGCTCAGGTACGCCTAGGATTACAGCATAAAATTCTTAATTTATTCCATATCACTTTAGCTTTTGCTTTTCCAATAAGGGCTTCAGTCAAACAAATGTAAAACAACAAACTGGCTATACAGTTCATTTTTTTTCAACCAGTAATGGGCTATTCTTGCTACTCCTGGGTCTTCTCAACCAGTATGTTGAGGTGTGCCGATTCTGAAGGTGTTCTCAGCCATTCGAGAAGGGTCATCATCACAGAGAAAATTGATCTGAAAAAACAGCACCAGGCCCCGTCTTGGTTCATTTCTTCATAAGCAAACCTCTTTTGGGACTCTCTGAGGGCTTGCTTAATAGGGACCTTGCCTTCAAACCAGCAGCCTCTGGTCTCCCATGTACAAGCAACATGCCCTGCCAACAAGTTTTAAGGCCAACTATAGTTAGATTTTTCATTTAAATTTTGGCACAGTCCAAAGTCACTCCTCTTACTTCCAAGCGCTGTTGCCATTGTATTAAAAAAAAAAAAAGGAAGTAAATTTGCTGCAGAGTTATTTACTGCCCAGAAAATCCAGCTGAAACCTTCGACTGCCAAATTTGAGGATTCACTGTTGGGCCAGGGACTTTAAATAGCTTTTGCTACTGAGGATTTTCTGCTGTCTAGAAGGGAAAAAAAGAAAAAAAAAGAGCCACCCTCCAAAAAAGCACGATAAAGCTTCGGTTTGAAGGATTGGACATGGATTGTTAGAAACTGAAAATTGCCACTTCTGGTGTGGTTACTACCTAGCCGGCTTTTACGATTGGATCATCTGTCTTTAAGTCTAGATTTGGTTGCCTGGTGTCAAGGATAAATAAAACTAATTTTGATCTCTCAAGTGACACAGAAAGGAAGAGAGGCTTCTTCTTTAATATGCGGTCTGCTTTTTCACTCTTTCTCAGCTGGGCCACTGCAGTGGGGTTCAGGTAGCTGAGCAGAGCAAGGTAAGGAAGACGAGGCAGAAACAGAGAAGCCGTCAGCAGCCAAGGTGAGTGGGCTGGTGAGCCAGCAGACCATGCAAGTCAAACCCTGAAAGGGCAAGTTTTGAAGGTCGCTTAGAAGTTGCTCAGATAGTAAGGAAGAATATATGGGCAGTGGAGGGCAGAAATTTCACCACAATGAAACTCGAGGCAAATTTTACAAGTTCCTTCTCAGGTAAAACATAGGGAGGGAGGGAGGACTGATAAAACTGCCAGTGTTATGTTTTCTAGAGGATGAGGTACCAGACGTCACCATGAACACCTCCCTCTTCTCTTATAATGGCAATGGCTCCTACATGAGAGGGGACGGAACAGAGTTCTGATGAGTTTCAGCTGGAAGAAAGGCCTGCTCGCTGGATTCCACCTGAAGGAAAATTTGCAAAAATTCAGGACTGACTTCCTCCAGTGAAAGTGCTGTAGCTCAATGGTAGAGCACCATTGTATGCAGAAAGATCAAATCCTGGCATCTCCAGGCAGGGCTGGGAAATAATCCTGTATGGAAACAATGGAGAGCCCCTGATAGTTAGTGCGGAGAATACTGAGATAGATGGGGTGGTATTCTGACTCCTTATAAGGCAGCTGCCTAATAATAATTCTATGGGGGTGGAAAGGGGCTTTAGAAGGAAGAGGAGATGCAGGCTTCCCTAACCTGGTGCCTTCCAGATGTTTTGGACTACAAATATCATCGTCCCCGACCACTGGTTTTGCTGGCTGGGGCTGATGGTGGGAACACACTGGTGAAGCAAAAAGCCCTGCAGCCAGCAGGATTGAACCCTCCGCTCATCAGCTGGTGGGCCGGGGGTTTGATCCCGCTGAGTGCTGCTTTGCCAGATTGTTCCCTGAAGGGAATTCAATGGTGAAGAAGACCCCTGCCGTTCAGCTTTGACAGGTGGACAGGACTGGCAACCTAGCTGCCAAAAGTTGGCCCCTGGGGGAGTTCAAGATCTGGCCCACTGGGCCAAAATGTTTCCTCACCCCTCTTTTTTGGGGGGAAAGACCATAACCTAAAGGCAGAGCACATGCCTTTGCAAGCAAAGAACCCCAGTTTCAGCTGCTGGCATAGATAGACCTTTGGCCTAATTCACCAGGTCCCTTCTTATGTCCTTATGATCAGAATGGGGCAAATCCCAGCTCAAAATCCCAGAGAGCTGCTGCCAGGTTGTCTAGACCAGGGTTTCTGAAACTTGGGCCTCCAGCAGTTTTTGGACTACAATTCCCATCATCCCTGACCACTGGTCCAGCTAGCTAGGGATGATGGGAGTTGTATTCCAAAAAACTGTTGGAGACCCGAGTTTCGGAAACTTTTGTCTAGACAATTCTGGGCTGGCCCGGGGAACAGTCTGGCTCGGGATAAGCTTTTTCCTGTATTCTGTGTGCAAAAGCACTAATGCATATTCTGGCAACCATGTGGAGCAGGTGTCAGGCAGCAGCAAGAATACAATCGTGGCATGCAAACCGTTATTTGTTGGTTATAGGGCTGGGTTTGACTAGCTGGTCGGGAGATGAAACAGCGACAGCTCCTCCATAAGCCGGATTTGCTTGTTAGGAATAACCTTGGCCAAGATGGATGGGTGGGCAGAGTGCAGGTGGTCTGAGGAAAGGTGCGTGATAAATCACGAAGCGGAGCAATCCATCACAGGGATATCTTCTCACAATATCCAGAGAATTGGACCCATGTCCATCTTGGCTGGCCATCGCCAGCACAGAAAGCTAATCTATTGAATCCAGCCAGCAGCCATGGAGGTATCAAAGCTGATGATAGATTTGCAACACAAAAATAAAAAAAAACCTGCACAGATACTTGTAGGATACCATACCAGGGTACAAGTAGTTGCCAGAGATCTCAGCTTTTGTTTCTAGGTTATGGCAAAGTTATTGTCCAGACTGAGCAAGGGATGCCATTTTAGGTTTCGTGGAAGGGTAATTTTTTAGCTTTCAATGCAGGTCGAACTAAAGAAACAAGCAAAGGGATCTGTGCCTTTAGCATACAACACAGAGTCTACCTCAATAGTTTATAACAACCAGCAGTCATTATGAAGGGAGAGAGACTGTGCTGGCCTTCAGGCAATGGCTTTTTCTACCTGTCTTGCCCCACTGTCCAGCCCTAGGAGCCTGACTGGGAAGAGAGAAAAAGAGTTCAGGAATATATTTCTTTAATATATATATATATATATATATATATATATATGTTGTGTGTCCTTGTTTCTCAGTTTGATCCTTTAACATGGTTTTGTATGTTTTGTGGCATTTTATGCATTGTGACTTGATGTTATTTTTATTGATTACAGTTTAGTCATTCTTTATTGTGATTGCTAAGGGCAAACTTTAATTATTATTTGCTGGCATTTATTTTTACTGTTTACTATTACATTCTAATGGATGATTAAATATTGCTTTATTTGATGTAAGTTGTTTATTTTAAAGTTATTGTAGCTTTTTTGGTATTGGATCAGATTGTTATTACGTGTGTGATCTTTGCTGTCTATTTTCTTGTTTCTTCAGCTTGTAAACTGCCTTGTGCGTAGAAAGGCGGTATACAAATTAAAAGTGAAATGAAACAAGAAGAAATTGTGTAGAATCAGGGACCCCATAGGCAGAAGAGGCAGTCCTCAATATTCCCCCATGTGCTCAAGCAATGTGTATGTAAGCTTATTTGGTTATTTATTATATTTGCATCCAAACTT